TTTTTTAATTATATTTCAGCCCTTATCAATAGAGAGAATATGCCATGGTGTGGAATGGGGGATCTTAATCAAACTAGATGGCTACATGAATTTTTAACAGCAGCTAGGCCAAATTCAGCAATGATAATGTTTGACAATTTCATTACATGTAATGTTTTGATGGATCTAAATATTATTGCCACGCAATTCACTTGGAGTAACAATTCTGCCACCCAATTGCAAATGTCCAAAATTGATCAAATCTTAATCTCAGAAGAGTGGGAAGCCAAATTACTTGCTCAAAACCATACCTCATAATACCTTGGACCATATTCCGCTTTTGTTCAATACCGAAGGGGAATCCTATGGCCCTTTCCCTTTCCGGTTTGACCTCATGTCGCTAAGAGAACAATCGTTAATGAAGCTTGTAACAAATACATAGAATAATGTACCTTTCAAGGCTTCGCCTAGACACATCTCAACCTGCAAACGAAAACTTCTCAAACAACAACTCAGACGTTGGGAAACTGCACTTTCGGCACATTCGCTCACACGATTGCTACTACCACCAATAGCATGGAATAACTTAACGCCCTAGAATAAATCTCTGGTGGTTTGGCCCCTATTCAAGTTCAAACCCGAGAGGACCTCAAAGACCAATTGGATGACTTGTTAAGAAAGGAAGAAATTTTTTGGTTTCAGTGCTCCCGCTTCAAATGGGTCAAGGAAGGGGATATCAATACGAAATACTTTCATGCCATTGCAAATTCCTGACGAAGACAATATAATTTGAACGGCTTAAGAGGGAGTAGACTATGAGGACAATAACAATAGGGCCATGGAAGAGACAATTGTATACCATTTCCAAAGATCTTTTGCATCAGAACCTCGTCTTCCCTTTTAGCTTGAAGATCTCCCATTCAAGACAATTCCAGAAGTCCATGCCAGAGCCCTAGAGCAAGCCTTTTCAATGGAAGAAGTAAAGGAAGCGACCTTCACTTTGCCCAGAGACAAATCCCCTAGCTGGATAGTTTCCCTTTCTCCTTTTTTCAATAATTTTTGGATTTGGTGAAACCAAACCTAATGCGATGGATCAACCAATTTGAGTTTGATGGATTCATAAGCAATGCCATGAATTTCACATTCATCACCCTTATTCCCAAAAAGGTAAATCTGGAATCACTTCAAGACATTCAACCCATCAGCTTCCTATCAGCAATATACAAGATTCTGGCTAAAGTTTTGACAAATTAGCTGAGGAAAGTTTCACATTTGATTGTAGAGGGCTCCATGCTGCATTCATAATAGATAAACAAATAATTGATGGAGTGTTAATCGTGCAAGAAGTGATCCATACCATAGCATAGACGGGGCTAAAAGGGGTCATATTGAAACTGGATATCTAGAAGGTGTATGATCGAGTTGAATTGGATTACCTAGATGAGATTATGCAGCTTATAGGCTTCGGTGATTTGGAGAAGGTGGATAAGAGGTTGTCTAGCATCCATCCATCTCTCAATTATTGTGATTGGTAAATCCTGTGGTTACTTCAAGTCTTCCTGGGGCATTAGGTAGGGCGATAAAGTATCGCCCTTCCTATTCACTTTGGTGGCGGAGTCCTTTAGCAAGATGATGGAAGGGGTAGTGAGGAGTGAAATGATTAGTGGATTGCAAGCATGGCATGATGGACAATCATTAGCCCATCTTCAATATGTAAACAACACTCTTCTACTGTTGAAGCTGACATATGTAAACATTCGCAATGCATGGTTGTTTCTGAAATGTTATGAGCAGGCGTTCAGGGCTAGAATAAATATGAGCAAAACTAGGGGAATTAGTTGCAAGGATCGAGAGGTAAATGGGTGGGCTGCATGGTGCCACTAACGCCTTCCCTACTCAGTATTTGGGCCTGCCACTCGCCATCACCAAGTTGTCACATTCGCATTGGACCCACCCATTCCAAGATTTCAGCACAAATTGGATGGGTGGAAATCCAGATATCTCTCTTTAGGGGGTTGCATTACCCTCATTAAAGCCACCTTAGCAAACCTGCCTATTTATTACCTTTCGCTTTTCAGAGCACCAACATGAGTAATTAAGAAGCTAAAATCTTTAATGAGAAATTTCTTATGGAGTGGTAGTCAACATAAGAAGAAGTTTCACCTCCTCAAATGGACCTGTGTATGCCTACAGAAAAAAGGAGGTTGTTGGGCATCAGGAAATTAGCAGCAGTTAATGAAGCACTCTTGACAAAGTTTTGGTAGAGGTTGTCTAGACAACAAGGCCAGCTCTGGGAATCAGTGATTTTTGGGACCGACGGTTTCATTACCAGACAAAGGCCAAAAAAGTCTTCAGTTTCTTGGGTGTGGAGAGGCATTTTCTTGATCAAAATCCTCTTCTTGGCTTAAACCATAATTGTGGTTGGTGATGGAGCCAAAACGAGGTTCTGGTGCAGCAAATGGCTCAGCCAATATTCCCTCAAGATCACATACCCAGATCTATACAAGAGCTCTAATAAGAAGATCGCTAAAGTGTAAGAAATTGTCTCAGCTGGGGAACTGGAACTCTGATATTACGCTTGACATGAAAAGAGTTGAAAATGGAGTGGAACAACAGTTCCTAGCCCTACTTTCCTTGATATGTGAATTTTCTATTGCCCAAAGAGGCCAGACAAATTGGTGTGGACCCTGGAACCCAATGGCATTTTCACAATCAACTCTCTCTATGATACTATATTCTGTGAACGCTATATTGAAGAAAATAACAAGGTATACCAATTGTGGAACTGTTAAGTCCCACACATAGTGAGAGCTTTTTTGTGGCTTCTTGGACATCGAAGACCCCTTTCCACTTATCATATCTTCATTTGTTGTCCTTTTGTGTCGGCATTGTGGGGATGGGTACATAATCTATCTGGGAGGACATGGATCAAGCATAATCGCATAGATCAGATGCTTCAGCATATATGGTCTCCTAACTTTACAGCTTCTGGCTTGATTATTTAGAGAATCTTGTTAGCGGTTGTGCTATGGAACATTTGGAATGAATGAAATCTCATAACTTTGAAAAAAAGAGGGCAAAAGAAAAGATATTTTCTAGTTGTCCCGGTCCATTTGAGTCTTAGTGACAACATTGGCACAAGCTCTATCTTCCTTTTGACCCATCCCAAGAGAAAACCTCTTCACCCATTTTAAGGCGATCATATGCTTCAAGCAAAAAGGCCTTACTCGATCAAATCAAACCAGTGAAGGCGCCACCAGTAGGTTGGGTCAAGCTGAGTTTTGACAGCAGTGTCAAAATCCATGAACAAATTAGCTAGTTTTGATGGACTTCTGCGAGACTCAGATGGAGCAACCTGTGGCACTACCAAGGTCGCATGCATTTATGTGGTAGTAATGAGGCTGAGCATTGGGCTTTGAAGGTAGGAGTGTCGATGATACATTCTGGTAATTCACACCTGATCATTGAAGGGGACGCTACCAATATTATTGTTTGGTGCAAAGACTCAGAGAATGTGCCTTGGGCTTGGACTACTATCATGGACGAGATTGTTCTCGCTCTACAGGGGAGAGGAGTCTTCAACCTTATCTCAATGAATTATACTTACCATTCAAACATAAATAAAATTTACTAAACAATGAACATTTTAGTGGTAAGGATTACTTAAAAGATAGCACTTAGATGCGCTAATAGCCACAAGGGAAAATTATGGATACCCTCTGAAATATAATTTATATACCTCCAACCCCTTAATAGTTTCATATCTCACACAATTATTGGTTTTTCTTTGCTTTTACCCCCTAATCAAAAAGTTAATATGTCAAGAGATTGTATACAATGAAATCATTTACCTTTGATACAGGCTGATCACAATTCTTTATAACCATTTCATGTAAAATTGGATAACTTAAATATGTCACAAAGTTCGAAAAAAGTTCTTTTGGAGTTTGAGCTTTGATCAACGGAATAATTACAACAACCCAATTTCACATCCAATAGTCAAGATTAATGTAACCACCTTGTATAAAAAGTAAATTGTTTCATTTTCTACTTTCCCATATGTTAAATACTAAACTACCTTTGCAACCCTCCATTACTTGTTAAAACCATGGTTAGCAAGTCTCTTATTAAAACACGATTTTTTCAAAAAAAAATCTGATTTTTTGAAATACATTTAGAACTCCAATTTTTTCAAAAGATCTTAAAAAAATCACGACTTTTTAATGGAGCTGATTTAAATCCGTATTTTATCTGTTTTTCAAAAAAGCTTTTCAAAAAAACTTCTTCCCTATAACTTTATTTCTTCACTAACTTAATATTATTGAATTTTGATTTAAAGATGAATGCATTAACAATGGGAGCAAATTAATATTCTTGATTTAACAACAAATTCCATCAAGAATTCCCCAATGAGAAAAAAGCGTACAAAAACTACAAGCAATATACTCCTAAAAAAACTAAAAAAGAATCATAAAAAACGAGGGTACGTGTACTAAAAAGGATAGTTTCATCATAAAAATTACACCTCTTTCATTTACGGGGGTAAAAAAAAAAAAAATTAGATTAAGAGTTTGATATGAAAAATATTGAGTAATTGAATGTCTACCAAGTATATTTCAAGGGCGTAACCATAATTTTCCCAAAATTAACTTTGAATACCTTTAGTATCAATCCTGAAATATTGAAGTCTAAGCAGTCAGTAGCATCAATATCAAGCAGTGCACCAAGCTGGTATGCTGGTTAGTCTTTAATGGGCACAGGGAGAACATGGTGTCTCTTAAAATTTCACACACCGGAACAGAAAGCATACAATACCATGCATATAAGTGGCAAATCTAGTGTCACCATGTGCATAGCCAATTCAATATCAAGTACATTGCCATTCATCTTATATATGAGGAGAGATTAACAATGTACATTCTGAATTATTTTCAAGCCATCAAACAACCGCATGTACATTCTGAATTATTTTCAAGGTATCAAACAACCCCATGTATCAAACATTGAAAGAATCACTGCAATTGTATAACCCTGCTAATCAGAATTTATTTTTTCAATAAATTAAATCAGTATCGCATTGCAAACATCCACAAAAACGAAAAAGAACGAGAGAGAGAGAGAAGGCATATCAAGTAGCAAAATATATTCCCACGGAAAACTGGCACGGATACAATCAAAGTTGAAGATACCTGATTCAGCTCATGCTCAAAAACACAAAAAACCTAATCTCGAAGATGCTGATGAAATGATGATGAGATTGAAATCAAGAAAATCTAAAACCAAGAAACAGGGTGACAAGAAAAGAGCAAACACTCTTCCTTGCTCTAAATTTACAGAAGCAAAATGCTCCCTTTCTTCAAGTCATTCTCTGAGCTGCTTCCTTGGCCAAGAGCCTCTCCCTAGCTTTGGTCTTGGCCAAGGATTTGGAGCCCATGATGCCCCCACCCCATCGCTTGCGGTATTCATCATACTTGTCGTTGAAATTGGCCTGCAAAACCAAAAAACACGGAAAATAGAATCCAACTACTGACGACATGTAACTGATTATAAATGCTGCTAATTTGTTTTCTTCCAATGACACCCTACCATAATGCAGACCCTCTCCCCCCCCTCCATTCTTCTTTCACAAACACACACGCACATGCACAAAACACACATGCAGATGCACATGCACATAACACATGCACATACACATATATGCACACACACAAAAGGAAAATATTCTATAAGGAACAACAATCTTATAAGCTAAAGGGATTTTCCACAACAAAATTTTGCAGTCCTTATTTAAAAAATTATCACTTAAAAAAAAGGGAATATGGAAGGCCTAGATCCGCTGTAAATCAAATGGACGGCCGCATTTCAACAAAAATGGCACTCATTCTGACTCCTTTTTGGGCAAATTCAAGTACAAAGATTTTTAAATCACTTCAGATGAGATATACACACGTGCAAAATTTAGGATCTACCAGATCCCCACTTTTCAAAGCAGATCATGCTGTAGAATAAGCCGATGGGCTTACATATTATTTTTTCATATATGTGTGTATATATTTTTTTTGGGGTAAATCAGAGGGGATATTTATGTGTGTATATTTGTATATATAGATTCAGTGTTTGCTTTTTAATAATTTTTCATTTTCTTTGTCATCATTGTATGACAATTTAATTATCATTTTCAAACTCCAGCTATGCTCGCAACGTCATTTGCCCTCTAATGTTTCACAGTTTCTTATTCCTTGAAAGTTTCATGCCCACAAATCAGTATCTGATCAGTACAAAAAGAAAAACAAACAAAACAAACAAACCATACCTTGATTGCCTCCACAATCTTGCTGAAATCCAACTTATCCTCATTCTTCACTGAGGTCAAACATAAGACTGCAGCTGTCTTCTTGTGCACAATCTATCAAAACAAGTAATGTCATCCAAGTGAGAACACCATTCTTCTCATTCCATTACAAAATAAACCACAGGTCACAGAAGAATGACACGAGAAAGATTGCACAACACCGTATAGTATATGGTACACAACAGGAGTATCCACCAGTCATTCGCAATAACTGACAGACATTAACACAAGTTCCCAATGGATGACAATTCGCCATGGTGCACCATATACCACATATCACTTGTAGAAGTTAAAAAGATATCAGTGAGAAACTCACAGTGCCCAAGCGAGCCTTCCCCTTTACGATGGCGTAAGGGATTTCCATTTTGCGGCACAAAGCTGGCAACCAAACAACAAGCTCGATGGGATCCACATCATGAGCAATAATCACAAGCTGAGCCTTGTTCTGTTTAAATACCACAAAATATAAGATGTTAGCTAGCAAACCAAACCAAATATCTAAAATCAACGACACATGGAAAGTAAGTCCAAGAATCTAACTAATCTATGATGAACATAACTAATTCAACTTGCTACACCCAGAATAGCACAAAAACTAAAATACTAATGCTGCATTTGGAAATGCTTTTGGAACCCATTCCGGGGAGCAGAGCATGGGATGCTGTTGGTGGTCAAAGCTAGTTGGTTCGGGACACCCAATCTCATTCGCATGGAAATGCACAACACCACTAATAAGTGGGAGTTTGCAATCTATTTGAAAGTAAGTCAATGATGAATCTAACTAGTACATAATGAAAGTAAACTAAATCCACTTGCTGCTTTCAAAATACTGCAAAACCTAAAATACTAATGCTGCATTTGGGAATGCTTTCGGAACCCATTATGGGGAGCAATGCGTAAGTCGTGCTGGTTGTGGAAGCTAGTTGATTCTGGGCAAGCAATCTCATTCGCATGGAAATGCAAAACACCACTTATAAGTGGCAGTTAGCATTCTATTTGAAATGGGGTTGAAACCACTTTTTCCTCTACTGCACAGTGCACATTGAGCACTGCCATTAATCACAAGCACATAAGCCATTACAATCCTGAATAAAAAAAGTTCCATAAACCAAAAGGAAGGTCTATATAAAAGAATTTATGAATAACCATGTGGCCTTAAAAACAATTATAAATGTAGAATAAAAGGTCTGTTATAGTTAATTTTATCACGGGTAGAGTATTTTTTCCACAATTAATCTAATCTGCATAATATTATTTTAGTTGTTTGGTAGGTACCTTATTCCCTATATGATGTTATTTGGTTGGCTGTTTGGTAAACTGATCCAAATCTCTGCATATTGAAAATTGGTCATGGTTGTAACCTTCAAAGCTCCATTCTCCACATCCCCAACCTTCCTCTCTCTAGTTTCTCTCACTTTAAATCTTCACTCCAAGATAAGATGAACAATTTTGATTTTCCCAAAAACAATTTTCAAAAAAACTCCATAATCTTAGGCTTCAAACTCCAAAAAAATTGGCTTTTTAGAGAAAAAATTATACCAATTGCATAAAATCTCCATACTAATGGTTTTCTTCTTAACTTGGGACCTCAGTAGAAATGGAATCCTGGGCCTGTTTTCTGAGGAGATTCCAACTGTAGGTTTGAAGGGGATCTGGTTTTTATAGGGAGATTCTGACTTTCGAGTTGGAAGAGCTTGTGTGTGTGTGTGTGTGAAAGAGAGAGAGAGCTTTTCCATCACTCCCTCCCGAACCAGAAAAGGACAAAGTTATATTAAGCAACGTAAAAAACACCATTATGACCAGATTGGATTCCAAAAGACTAAAACAGAAATAATTTTACAAGGGTCAGTGCCTAACAACAAATAAATCTTTATAGTGAGTGTTTTTATTATAACAGTGGATAGTTAGTGATGGCAGATGCATCCAAACAAAACATACTATACAACACATGCATAAATATTCACAGAAGACCGCAAGCATAGCACAGCAGTCAGAAGCAAACCACAGGCTTGGAGTGCCTCAGAAGTCGATACATGAAAATTCACATAAAAAAAAGGCTACCATTGGATCTTAAGTATCGCATAGCCAAATGCAGCAACCAACCTAGATAAACCAAGCAAAACTGCTTTACTAGAAACTACAAAAGTTACAGAAATAATTGTCTATACAAATATTAATTTGTCATTCTAAATATGTTGGTAATGGTATAAAATTAATTGTCTTTGTGGATAATAAACCTTTATTAAAAAGTAAGTTGAAATATAGAGAGCAGTCATAAAAAAAGCTGACCAAAGATAGCAAAGTCAAAAACCAAAAGGGGGAAGAGAGAGAGAGAGAGAGAGAGAGAGAACAAGTATGAAAAATCATTAGTTTCACCTGCTCAATAAGGTATGTAACATGATTGAGACCATACTTGACGACAATGGGCTTCTTTGATTCAACAGTCTTCCCTTCTGCCTCTGCCTGAGCCCTTTTCAAAAGCCTTTCCTTTTTCTCTGCCTTATCTTCAGGTCGGTACTTAAGAAGCATCTTGAAAAGATTTGTTGCTGCAGGAGAAAAGGAAGTCAATTTAAGGGACACAAACCAATCGTCTGGGCCTATTCAAATGTACAAAACAAAAAAGCTTTTATATGCCAAATAAGGAAAATTTGAGACCCTTTCAATGGAAGCTATGGAATACAGGCAACACGGGGGTGCCAACAAAAGATCAGCATAAATTTCAGTAAGATTGAATAATCAATACCTAAAGAAACCATTCAGTGTTATATGAGAAATGTTACCAAGGTTCTTGTCCAATGTTTTGGTGAACTGATTCAGAGCAGGAGGAACCTTCAAACGCTGCTTAAGGATCCTCCTCTGCCTTTGAATGCGTATGACCTTTGGCCATTTCACAAATCTATGCAAATCCCTTTTTGGAGGTAAAGCTCCCCCAATCCCAAATTGCTTAGGACGCTTTTCGAATAAGGGATTCACAACCTTCTCCTGTTAAAGTGAACATAAAATCCTAAATTATAACTTCCTCGTGCTAGAAATACATGTTTTGAAATTTAATGGAGAATAAAACTGAGAGGAAAATGCTCAAATGAGAAGAAGCATAAGCCATTATTTGACCAACTAGAGCCAAAATGGAGATTTACTACTTACAGCCTTCTTCTTGGCTCGTGCAGGTGCCTTTCCACCTCTTTTAGGGGCCTGAAAGATAAACAGAGGAGAATGAGCAAGAAACGCACCTTGTTCAGGCAACAGTAACGACAACTCGTGCACATACATAAGTTTCAAAATTACATATATTTTACAACTATGTAAGTTCACAATGAATGTGTAACTAAAAGGAACTCCACAGTGTGAACCGAATAATTAACAGCTAGCACACTATCTGCCATTATTTGAAATCATGATATAACAAATGGCACTCCAAATTAACAAATTGCCCAAAGCCAAGAGCATTAATAATGCAGATGATACAGAAGCCAATGTTTCAAAATCTCTCTAAATGTTTTTAATTGATAGCATGTATTGCTATAAGATTAGAAGAAAATTGGACAAAATTATTACAAACAGTATTGGATCGCATGCACTTTTATGTCAGTATATAGGTCTCACTCCAAGAAAATGTACATCTTGGTCAATCTATGACCATACAAGAAGGAAACCCACCCTAAACAAACAATCTCACTTATGCCTAGTTCATCACCCAGAACCCAAGGTCAAGGGAACAACACAACCAGCCCACCAAATGGCAATCAGTACAACCCCTTAGACGATCAAGGGTCATAGAAAGAAAGAATTAGAAACAATGACAACCTAAAGTTGACAAAAATTACAGAGATAACAAGAATATAATGTGTGACCAAGGGAAACAAAAGGAATTCACTCAGGAATAAGTCATGTTAAAATTGGGAAAGCTGCACAAATACGTGAGGGAACATAGAATAAATCGATGGATACTTAGGGGAAATCAGAGAAAAAATTCTAATGGACTTCTAAAACACTACTCATAGTTAATCGATACTAGATCCAAATTGTAGGACGATGAGTAAACTACGAGCCCAGAAGACTAAACTTACACTGACCTTAGAAATGCTCATAACTCATTCGAATCAGGACAATGAAACACCTTAGACAGAGACAATAAATCTATAGCGATTACCATAAATAATAATTTGGGTCATCTAACATCAATCAATAATAGCTCATTCCTGGCAAAGGTTGCAAGTTGATTTTTTTTTTGTCAGCAACACTATGGAAAACACAATAATCCAATCAGAAGTTCCTCAGAAAAAAAGCCAAAGTTACAAACATTTTCTGATAAAATTGGTCCAGAACAGCATCAGCATATGCCCTTTTCAGATCAAACAAATATCAGGTACATGAAACAACTCTTATCATTACTGGAACTTGATATGAGATGTATACATCTCACCTTGCATGTTAATCTATCAATCAAAACGATAAATAAATGTGAGATGTTTCTATGATGAATGGAATTCATGAACATAATAATTTTGGTAAAAAATGAGATAAGCTATGGGGAATCAATAAGCTAGAGGAGCAAAATTATAATCCAAGGAAATTATAATTCAAGGAAAATGGATCCAGCAACTGTTGTGTTGTAAAATTGATATTTCTCGGTCAAAATGAAGCTAATAATTAAAAAATAAATTAAAGCTTCCAATATATAATGGTGTTTTCGTAATTAGCAGATCAATGAATGCGCATGATATACTTATCAAGCAAAACACATCAAACAAAGGCCAAGCAGTGAAACCAACAGAAGAAATCTATATCCCAGATAAAAAATGAATACTTATGATAATAAGCAACACAATGCCCACGTACCACGAGTGAAATCTCTCTCTATGCAAACTGGTTCTAGGTGAGTAAGACAAAATCGACATAACTACATGACCACTAAAATAAACAGCGCAAGAGGATATATTCTGGGGACAATTCGTTTAATATGCACATCGAAACTAACATCCGACTCTAATGCCAATGCATAGTATAATACAAGATTTTCTTGGGTAAAGTAATTTAGACTTTCCAGAGCAAATTACTGGTCCAACAGAAGATGGAAGAGAAACCAGTTCTAGGGTTTCTATGGCAAATATAAGCCATTTCTGCAGATACTTAGAGAAAAGGATAAAACGTAGGGCTTTGATGGAATTGGGGGAGCCTTGATTGAACTGCTGATGCGAAAGAACATTAAAAAAGGAAAAAAGAGGAAAGCCAAACTTGTTCTATGGGTTTTAGGACAAACAATAGAAACCACTTCAACGAGGAGAGAGACACCATTTCTCGGGTTTTAATGGAACCCTAGAATCCATTTCAACGGAGAGAGAAACCATTTTTAGCTTTTTAATGAAACTAGGGTTTCAGAGGACGTACCATTTGTTGATGCCAGAGACCACGGCGAGTAGAGTCCTCCGATACTGGCCCCTTCGTCAAATAAGGGGTTTTAATCTTTGCAACTTATATGGGGGTTCAATAAGCGCTTGGACGGACCAGATATGAAGTTGGGAACAACCCATGGTGTACGATAAGATCCATGCCGTTGCTGAATGAGGCATATCTTTCCTAAGCTTTGTTAGATGGACTTTTCTATAGAAAAGCCTAGGAGTTTTAGATGATCCAATGTAGGGGCCGGATGAAAACTAGTTTTTTTATTTAAAAACTAATGTACTTTGGATAAAATTAAAGGAAAATGTTTATATAGAACCAAGGCTCAAAACATTCAAATTAGAGCCTACCTCAAAAATTTTGCTAGAAGAGGTTGTTTTGATGCCAAAATATCCTCAAATTGATCATCTAGACATGAGGAAAAAAATGGATTTCAAGTTTTGAAATAGTGCATCTTGTATCGCACTTTTGGACCATCAATTTTCAAGATTTTCAAGTTTTTATAGATCTACTCAATCTATACTATTTTTTAAGCTTTAAATTTCATACCGTAAGTAGACACTATTTTTTAAGCTTTAAATTTCATAAGTACGTATAAAAATATATTTTAAGACTATCACAAAGATTATTAGTATGGAAACCACATTTCTCAACACCATTTGAAGGTGGGCCCTAATTTGATTGCTTATTTAGAGCCTCAGCTCTATACAAACTGCACCCAAAATTAAAGTACATTTTATGTTATTGAAATATAGGATTTGATTGTAAAATATAGAATATATTGGACTATTTTTAAATATAAAAAATACAATAAGATTTATCTGTAAATTTCCTGTGACAAAAAAACTAAATTTTTGAATATTCGAGATTTCAAAATTATGTATAAAGGAACTAATGGCTTTTCAAATATCCAGATTTTTCAGATGTGTCTTTTTTATCACTGGTTACATGTATTTTGTAATTCATAGGTTTGAAATTCTTTACTGTGTGGCTAATAATCAAATTGTCTAGATCAATATTTGGAAACTCAACTTAGGCTTCGAACTCCGCCTTGGCTTGAGCTGAGTTGCTCGGGCTAGTCCAAGTGCTTTCACTTAAGTAGTGTAAGGCCAGAGGCTCTAAAAAATTTTAAAAATATATATATTGAGATTAAATAAAAATGTGAAAATCAAATAAACAAAAAACAACACAAAAAATAAATAAACTGGAAAAAATTATAAAACATGGATTTACAATCACTTAAATTCTACAAACATTTTCTAAAAATCCAAAAGAGGAAAATATAAAAACAGGCACAAGGCCTGAAAATTTCATATATCATTATATAAAATATCCAAATTACATGTAAATATGTATGTATAGGTTCCACCATTTAATACAATTTTTCTATCATTTATTTATTTTAATAAACCCGAATTGTACTTGGGTACTCTACTCAGCAAGGGGCTAAATCCGAGTGACTTGGACAAGTTTGTGAACATTGCTACAACCAGTGTTTAATTTTCATCTTTAATTGGAATGCTCTAAAATCATTGTTGATGGGTGTGAAATAATAAGCCATGATTGTTTAAGGACCACCACTCATTGGTGATCATGGTGCAGCCATTATTGTATAACTTTTAATGGTTAGGATTACTTGAACCAAAGATAAATAGTCTCCTGGTATACAATCTCTATAACACATGCAACATAATCAGGGTTCAATTGTTTGTTATAGCACCAAGATGGCTATTTCGTTATCCCATGCTTAGGGGAGAGCGCACTTTCCATAAGCGGAGCTTGAATTTCAATTTAGCAAGAATTAGTGGAAATTGTAATTAAAATAAGTGTAAATTATGCAAATATCTCTTTTAATTCATTTTATTTAAATTTTACCTAAATATTTTTTGTTATAACATTCATAGCCGTTTGTGTATAATCTTTTTCAAATGACCTAAAGCCCACAATTCGGATTTCTTTCCACGCGCATTCTTGGAATTCCAAAATCCAAAAATTTCAAGATTTTCGGATTTTGAAAATCCAAAAATGGCCATGAAAACAATCTCCATGATTTCATAATTTTAAAATCTAAAAATCAATTAATTTTCGGATTATGAGAATCAAAAGGTTCTCTTGAAACAAGAATAATTTTTTCCATGAGCATTTCCAAATTTTCAAAATCCCAAAATAAATAAAAAAATCCAGATTTTGAAAGTCCAAAAATGCGTATGGTCCTATTTCTGGCCAAAAATTGCAAACAAATGGGGCAAATGAAATTTTGGATGAAGATCCAAAAATTGCAAATAATTTTCAAATGGCAATTATGGAACAAATAAGAAAAATACAATAGATTGGGTATAAATATAAAAATTTTAATTTTAGAGGGTATTTTTATAATAACAAAAATCATGGGGGACATGCGTGAACTTTTCTCTTAACAAAATTTAAAGGGAGGTTTGATAGTTTATATTTTTCAGTTCCCTGGATTTTTCTACTTTTTGTTTTTTCTTTTGGAGAGTTTTGTACTAATTTCGGAAAAAACCAAAAAGCTTTACGAAAGAGGCGGGAACTGAAAGAAAGTCCTATGTAATCTTTTGCCGAGGAAATACAAATTTTTTTGTTTTTTTAATAATAATCATCCCTTATAATTTTGACAACAATATCACTCACAGATGGTCTTATTACAAACAATAGAAATTCCAAAATAAATAACACATCAATAAAATAAATCTCAACTACTTGATGTCATTCATACAACCTAATACTGTACTTGAGAATATAAAATAAAAGAACAAACAAATAAAAGAAAAGATGTCGGAGATTATCTCAACCGAGCTTTTTACACCCCAAATCGAGTCACCACATCCAATGGCACGGGATAGCTGATTTCAGCCAAACTAAGTAACTACCTCTTAAAATCTCTACAATACCTTAACCCCCAAAATTGACTTAGGTCCCCCTCTACTTTTTCCAACCCTTAAAATTAACTTAGGTCTAGATAGGAGAAAGAGTACTACCTAAGGTTTGGGTGAGAGAAAATTAGAGAGAGAAATATGGAGAGAGAGATGAGAGAGAGAGAGGTTGTGTGTAGAGATGGGGGGGGGAGCACCCTTATTTATAGTGAATATTTAGGTTTAGGGTTTTCCTATAGTTTGCTTCTTTCATGAGATTAAATCTAGACCGTTGATCAAGGTGACTTGTGGGGTAAGAGATCTGAGTCATCCATTCCATAGATGGGCCACCAACATTACGTAAGGAGCTTGAACCATTATCCTCATTTCCTTAAACCATTTTCTCATCAATATATTTAAATAAAATAAATATCGTGCATTCCATAAAATTCCATGATCCATGTCACATATTCCATAAGGATATATAAAAAATAATCAAGT